GAGATAAGTCTTTACTTATAACTAAGATGATAAATTATCCCATTACTTATGTTCAAAGCAGCCCTACTTAATACTGTATCATTCCCTAAAGTAGCACTTGTCTATGGTATATACAACTTAACTATTCTGACATCTTTAAATTATAGTTACCCATCGTTTTATATACTCTTCTATGAAAGCACTTTTCAAAGTGAGAGTAATTACAAACTATTTTGATACCACATACTTTCAGCATATAAGCAGCAAGTCAAACTGCATTAGAAATAAGTAATGTAATAAATTCATTTTCTTATTTAGATATAATTTTACAGAAAAAAAAATGTTTTACTTTGAACTTAAATAATTCACAGAATTCAAAATCTATTCACAATTCACCCATTATTTTTATAAAGCTCATAAATCATATACTCTTCCCATTTCCATCTCAGACCATATTCATTCGGTGACTGACAAATAATGACATTAATAAGACAAAACTCAAAACAAAAATACCCTGTTGATAAATTACTTAGGAATTGTAGTTTGGTCATAGAATAAGTAAAAAGAACCTCCATAGAATACAGGTTAAAATTTACCAAAACTACAATTGACATTCTGCAATCAAAATACCCCAAATGAAAACAAAAACCTACCAGCCAGTAAACTTATCAGTAAGCAAAGTATATCAACATTTACCATTCAGAGAAAATTAAAATTAATCTGCTGTGCCTTCCTAGCCATCCCTGGAAAGCAAAACTGCCACCATGTCTCATGGCTGAATGAGACTGTCCGCAAAGAGGGTGGAATGAAGGAAGCGAGACATTCTGAGGACTAGGAACTAGATGCAGAGGAAAGGCAGGGTGGGGGACGTGCGTGCCAATCAGATGCCATGGCCTGTGGACTGGTTTTAATGGCCAGTACTGAAGGTAAGCCTGTGTGGCATTGGATCAGAGAACATCTATCTCAAGTCAGGATCCCTGAAGGATTATATCCTCAAGGAAAAAGTGAGTTATTTTTTAATATGCTCTGCTAAAGCAGACAGAAAATGTGTCTTTCCACCTTGACTATATGTGAAGGGGGAAATATCATTTTTTCTGGGAACTTCTGGTCATAGATGTGGGGGCATGAATTTACTGTACATACAAGGTCCAAAAAAAAAGCTACATGCCCAAATTTTAAATTAATTTGGCCCAGGACTGCTAGGGCCCCGGTAGCACACACATTCTCTTTGTGCAGCAGGACAAGGCAAACTAAGACATGGGCAAAATCAGGAACAAAGCCCATCTGCTTCACACAGGCTGTGGGTTGCTTTTCTTAGTTGTGACAAAGACCACGTGGGCCACAACGCCTAAAATATTTACTCTCTGGCCCTTTATAGAAAAGACTGCTGGCCCCTAGCATAAAATACCGACAATGTCAAGTGTGTTTGAAGCAAAACAGGATGAATTAAGGCAGTGGAAACAGTATTCTTTCTGTCTATTGGAGCTTGAGCAGAGAGTAAAAGTATCGGTTAACTTTAGACTTCATTAAGTATTCATTTTTAAACTTCTAAAGTCAAAACCTATGGTTCAAGTGCAAGCATGGCGATAGTTTAATTCTGAATCTCCCATTCACCCCAGACAAGATATGTAACACAACCAGGGAAACGTGGGGGCAGGGGGTGAGCAAAAGAGAAACCAGGGATGAAAAAACCCACAAACTCCAAGCCAAGTGCAAAATGCAAGGAAAGCCCAGAGCCAGAAGGAGGGACCCCCTCGACTGCAGGGCTGAGGGCAGGAACGAGGAGCCCAGAGGCAGCCCGATGGATCTCAGGCTTGATGAGATCTCTGGTGGCAGATCTCAGTTCCCACGCTCATTCCCACAAAACTGGGCCTCGCTACCTCGGAACATGAGAAGACATATAATTTTTATAATGACAAGAGTGATTATTAAAAATGCAATACATGTACAGAAAATGGACAAAAACTAGATGGGAGCACAAAGCAAAATCCAACTTCTTATTGCACACAGGAAAGAGATTTAAAACAAAGTGATTCTGAAAGGGTAACAATAAAGAGATGGGCAGAATTATATCAGGAAAAGACTGACACCCCTCCCCCCACATTAAAAACCAAGAGCCATAATATTAATATCAGACCAGACAGAAATCAAGTCAAAAATATTAAATAAGCAAAGCACTTTATAACATTAAAAGATACAAATTGCAATAAAAGTAAAAGTTATGAATATCCATAACAGCAACTTTCATAAAGCATAAATTACAGAATATACACGGAGAAATAGGCAAAAATACACTAACATTTGTGGACTTTAACTTTATAGATAGATGATAGATAGATAGATAGATAGATAGATAGATAGATAATATTGTTCAGATAGAGTGGGAGGGAGAGAGAGAGAAAGAGAGAGAAACATCGACATGAAAGGGACACATCAAGTAGTTGCCACCCACCAACCCAACCAGGGCCGGGGACAAACTGCAACCGAGGTACACACCCTTAGCGGGAACCGAACCCAGGTCTCTGAGGACTGCAGGCCGACGCTCTAACCACTGAGCCAAACTGGCCAGGGCTAACTTTATATTTTTAACTCTCAGAGCATAATAGATCTATTACCAAAAAAAAAAAAAAGTAAGGAAGACAAGAACTAAGCAGTGTAATGAATAAAGTAGGTTTGATATATGTATATCTCAGATACCATACCTTAAAATGATAGGATTTGCCTCCTTTCCAAGTGTCCATAGAGTATTTATGAAAATTAGGCCACAAAGAAAATCTTAATAATTTACAAAATATGGAAATAATACCTACAAACATTCCCTGAACATTATCATAAAATTAAAATTAATAGCAAAATCAAACAAAACCTTTCTACATAGAACCTCTGTAGCTTACCTCTTGCTTAAACAACTCTTGGGCTCATCTGAAAAATCAGAACACTATCCACACTAGCTCCCACGCTACCAGGAGTGTGTTACCACAATAATGCATGTAAGCAGGTTTATTCAATACAGCACTGCTTAACCATTACACTCCAAAATGTTCCCTTCAGTAGGAATTCTCTTTGGAGTGCTTCTACTTTCTCAGTAAAATAATCAGTAAGGTCATCAGCTTAGAGTTATGATGAAGGAGGAAACGTCAGAAGTTTGAAGAGAGAGGAAAATGTATGAAATCGTCACTATGAAGAGTTGGAAGACAGGCTGGTGATTATGAACTTGAAGTCTGGTAAGTGTAGACGTACGGACAAGGGAGAGCGGGAGACAGCGAAAACGCAGAAGGAGGCTCAGTGAACTAAATGCTCAGGTAAGGGGGAAGAATTACAGTTTCAGTGCTAGATGGAGTGAGCAGGAGTAAGCAGTGGCCCGAGTAAGATATTTGAAATGGAAATTATGGGATTCACTGCAGGTAGGATGATGAGCAAGAGTGACTCAAGCAGAATAAAAAACAGGATCTTTGGAAGAGAGATCAAAACATTGAGAAGCCAGGTACTGGAAGAATTATTTAAGTGGGTACAGAAATCATAAAAATATTTGGTTAAGTATATGGGACAGGGTGCCTGTGAGCCAGAAGCTAGGTCCTTCGAGGAATAAACCACAGTGAACTGAGGAGCAACCACAGACAGGAAGAAGACACAGGTACGCAGCCTGGTGACATACGATTCACGCCGAGTGACTGCAAGGAGGAAGGTATGGAAACACAGTGCAAAAGGTGGTGAGAAGTGAGAAGTGTTCTGCGGACGCGGAGAAGAAAGCAGCTCACTGAGACGCTGGGGGTGGGGGGCCAGGCGTCCTTAGAAGGGAAGTCTTCCTCTGGACCCATGAGCACTGTCTTGTCATTGCTAACGGTGATCTGCAAATGAGTTTTCTCATTAAGACTGACTGCACAAGGGCTCTAAACAGCTATATACAGGGCGGGGCAAAAGTAGGTTTACATTTGTAAGTATGCAAAATTCAGGCTTCATTCTTGTATTATTATTCATTATTGTATTATTTTCCATAGGAACAACTGTAAACCTAGTTTTTCCACACCCTGTATAGTTGTCTTTGCACACACACACACACAAAAAAAGAACAAAAACCTGAGTTCATAGTACTGGACAGAGCCAGAAATGAAGTATGTTCTTGAAACAAAGTAGTGACTACAGGGTATATATATTTGAAGACAAATATTTTTTAAAAACATGAAACTGGTTGAAAATTTCTTAAAATTTTTTTTAAAATAAAGTACCCAAAAGACAAAGCAGAGTATTTGAGTACAGTGCAGAAAGTCATATGGATATTGCCCCAGTCCCTTTCATGCACCAGATAATAACCTCCTATGGAAGCCAACAGACCGTCAAGAAGCTTCCTTTAAAAGAGTACATAACAGCCAGGCCAGTGTGGCTCAGTGGTTGAGCATCGACCCATCAACTACAAGGTTGCCGGTTCGATTCCCGGTCAGAGCACATACCCAGGTTGTGGGCCAAACCCTCAGTGGGGGGCACGCAGGAGGCAGCCAATCGATGTTCTCTCATCGATGCTTCTACCTCTCTCTCCCTCTCCCTTCCTCTCTCTAAAAATCAATAAAAACATATTTAAAAACAAAAATAAAAAAATAAAAGAGTACGTAATATATACATAGAGACATTGTATACAACTAGGAACAGAGCCCTGAAAAATGAAAATCCTGAAACCATGGAAGGCACAGAAGAGATGGGTTAGTTTTAGTTCTGGATCCACGAGTAAAATCCAAAGAAACAGCACCATCTACTGGAAGTTCGCATATTTAAAAATATTCTCAATTCTTGGGAAATGTGACATATGTTTACTATGTAATATTTCCCCCATTTGGCTAAGAAGATAAACTTAATTATTGAAAGACATATCTAACCCCAAACCAAAAAAACTTATATTAAAGTATTCATTCTTGGCTTATCATTATTTCAAATAGCTAACCATTTTGACTAAATTCATATGAAGATCTCAATAATATTCTCAACCAATAAAGAAAAGAGTATAGAGTTACATTTTCAAAGTAACTCACAGAGATGGTATTCCTGTACGCTGCTTGTGTAACCATAGATTGCAGAATATCCAAATATTATGATCATGACCACATCTCTGCTATCCAGCTCCATGATATGTGCTGAATGTCCCTCCACAGCATACTGCTGCCCATGTCCCAGAACAGTAGGAGTTTTTGTGCTCCATGACTGACTCTGTATGTTAAAAATCCATAATTCATCTGTGACATTGCCTTCATTGGTTTCAATTCTGCCTCCATACATAAAGATGTTTTCCTATAAATTAAAAAAAAAAAGTATTAATATACAAAATAGTTACTTCTTAACAATACATTAATTTAAAGTGGAGCCTAAATTTAAACACTAAGTTTTAGTAGTCACAACACACATAAGACATAGTTCTTACTTGTAAGAAGTCAAATGGGAACACAGGAGTAATGAAAAATGATGCTTCTACTTGCAAGAAGGGGGTAGGGGAAACCATGTTTTCAAAAAGTTACTTGAAGATATTTAATTTAAAGCAACTGTATTATATAGTCAATTAATCATATGTTTTATTATCCTAGCTGCTGAGCCCCTGGTTGTTACACTGGAGGGTTACCATCTATGTGTGCTGCTTTGTGCTCTTCTCGATCATTCACTGCTTCCACCAAGCACAGTTCACACAAGGTAGACTGCATCTGTGTACTGCATGGAGCACACGCTTATTACCATTCCCCACAGCTATGGGCAGAGAGCTTATAGCACTTATAAATTATACAAATAACTTTAGTCACATATGACTAAAATGAATAATAGATAAATGATACAAATCGTTACTATTTCAACAACCTAGGAATAGAAAGGAATTTCTTCAACCTAATAAGGATCATCTAAGAAAAACACACAGCTAATATAATACTTAGTGACCCAAGAGTGGATACTTCCCCACTAAGGTAAGAATAAGACAAACACACCCATTCTTGCCACTGATATTGCACATTGTACCTGAGGTGTTAGTCACAGCAAATGGGCAAAAACTGAATAAAGACATCCAGATTGAAAAGAAGTAAATTATTGCTAATTCATAAAGATATGAATTTATATAGAGATAATAGTAAGAAATAAAAAAACAATTAGAAGCAAATAAATGAGTTCAACCACATTGTAAAATACAAGATCAATGTACAAAAATCAATTATATTTCTATACACTTGCAATCCAAAAATAAAACTAAGTAAAACAATTCCATTTACAAAAGCACCAAAAAAATAAATAAAATACTTGGGAAAAAAACTTAGCAAAAGAAATTGTAAACTTACTCTGAAAGCAATAAAACACTGTTGAAAGAAATTTTAAAATATCTAAATAAATGAAAAGACATCCCATGTTCATGAGTCAGAAGAACCTATTTTTAAGAAGGTAACCCTCTCCAAACTGAACAGATTCAATGCAATTTTTATCAGAATTCCAGGTGACTTCTTTGTAGAAACTGACAAGTAGATTCCAAAATTCACATGGAATTGCAAGGGACACAGAATATCCAAACAATCTTGAAAAGATAAAGCTGGAGGACTTACACTTACGATTTTAAAACTTACTACAAAGTAAAAGTAATCAAGAGAGCATGCTACCGGCATAAAGACAGACAAATAAATCAATAGAACTGGAGAGTCCAGAAATAAATCCATACATCTATGGCCAACTGAGATCTGACAAGAGTGCCAAGACCAGTCAATGGAGAAAGAATAATCTCTTCCAACAAATCGTGCTAAGAGAACTGAACAGTGGCATGCAAAAGAATGAACTTTGAACCCTTACTGCACGCCATATACAAAATTTAACTCAATATGAATCAAAGGCCTAAATGTAAGAGCCAAACTATAAAACTCTTAAAAGAAAACATGAGGTAAATCTTCATGACCTTGGATTTGACAATGAATTTTTAGATATGACACCATAAATACAAACGACACAAGAAAAAAAGATAAACTGGATTGCATCAAAGTTCTGTACTTCAAAAAACACCATCAAGAAAGTGAAAGCTCACAGAATGGGAGAAAATATTTGCAAACCATAAGGGACTTGTATCTAGAATACATAAAGGACACTTTACATCTCCATAATAAAAAGACAAATAACCCAATTTAAAAATGGGCAAAGGACTTGAATAGACATTTCTCCAAAGAAAATACAGATAGCCAATAAGCACATGAAATGATGCTTAACATCATTAATCAACAGGGCATGCAATCAAAACACAATGAGGTATCACTTCAAACCCACTAGAATGGCTATAACGAAAAAGACAGATACTAATGAGACCTGGTGAGGATCTGCAGAAATTGGAAACCATCATACATGGTTTGAGGGAATGTAAAATGGTATAGCCAGTCTGGAAAATAGTGGCAGTTCCTGCAAAAGTTAAACAGAGACTTACCATTTGACCCTGCAATTCCAGTCCTACATACACACTCAGGAGAAATTAAAGTGCATGTCTTCACAAAAAAATGAACATAAATGTTTACAGCATTATTCATAAGAGCCAAAGGTGAAAATAACCCAAATGTTCATCAAAGGATGAAATGATAAATAAAATGTAGTGATATCCCTACAACAGAATATATTTCAGGCATAAAAATGAAGTACTGATACATGCTACAACACACCAATCACAAGTCACATAGTACACAATTTCATTTATATGAAATGTCCAGAGTAGACAATCTAGAGAGATAGAAAGTAGATTCATGATTGCTTAAGGCTGGGAGCATGAAGAGGTTTGGGGTGAGGGCTAAAAGATACAGGGTTTCTTTGCAAGGTGATAAAAATGTCCTAAACTTGATTGCAAAACTCCACACTTTGACACAAATCTACAAGAGATAGTTGCACAACTCTGAATACACTGAAAACCACTCCAGTATACACATTTAGAATGAGTGCAGTATATGGTATGTCAATTATATCTCAATAAAGCCATTACAAGAAATAACAAGTGTGGATGAGGATGTGGAGGAATTGAAACCCTTGTGCACTGCTGGTGGGAATGTAAATGGTGCAGCAGCTGCAGAAAGCAATATGAAAATTCCTCAAAAAAATAAAAATAGAAGTATCATATAATCCAGCATCCACTTCTGACTACCTAGCTAAACACCTGAAAGTAGAGACGGGAGCACGTATTTGTACACCCAGGTTCACAGCAGCATTATGCTCGCTAGCCAGAAAGGTAAAAGCACCCAAGTGGATTAACAAGATGTTGTATATACATACAATGGACTGTTACTGAGGCTTAAAAAGAAAAGAAACTCTATCACATGCTACAATGTGGATAAACCTTGGGCACATTATCCTAAGTGAAATAAGCCAGTCATTAAAGGACAAACACTGTGTGAGTCCACTTATATGAGGTGTGAAATTCACAGAAACGGGAGTAGAATGATGGTCACCAGGGTCTGGGAAAGAGGGGAGTGGGGAATTGCTTAATGGATATAAAGTTTCAGCGTTAAGACACAACATGTCCAGAGATAATGATCCTAATGGTTGCACAACAATTTGAATGTATTTAAAAATGGTTAAAATGGTAAATCTTATATTATGTGTATTTTACCACAATTAAAGAGAAAAGTGAATAAAGGCCATGGGCAAAAGTTCAATCTTTATTTCTTCTCTTGTTCAATGGGGATCATACTAAAATCTATTCTTTTACTAAAATAGAATATGAGTCTGTGACATCTCAAGTTATTGTGATCCATATGATCTATTGCTCTCATTAGATGTATGAAATAAGTCTGAGATTTAGTTTTTTCCACTAAGGTGAACTCAAAAACTGTTATGAATTTAAAAAGCAGGATCCATACCTGATATAAAGCAAGAGAGTGTCCGTATCTCTGGAGCGGTCCCCTTGACAGGGTTCCCACATTCCATATACTGTTTTCTAAATTGTAACTAAAACGAGACAAAAATACCTTCATAAACTAAAATGCATTTTTGTTATTTTAATCTGCATATGCTTTCTTCACCTGCATTCAAGTTTTCATTCAATTTAAAACAATTAGAGCTAGCAGACTCATAATTTCATGTACCATATTTTAGATTTTTCATAAAGACATTCAAGATACATCTACTTTAAATTAGGATTCAAGCATCTAAATGTGTAGCAGACATTAACTTGACTAGGCTATTTATTACTGGAGTTAATTTGTTCAATTGCTTTAATAATTTCAACCAATTACTTAGCCTGAACAATAGTGAGCTGGTCTGCATCTTTAAATTAAAAAAGAAAAAAAGACAGGGAACAGACCGACAACTCTCAGAGGGGAGGAGGGCTGGGGAACTGGGTGAAACAGGTGCCGGGATTAAGAAGAAAATGGACACAGACAACCAAGTGGTGATTAGCAGAGGGGAGGGGATGGAGGCAGGTGAGAGAGGACAAAGGGGAGAGAAATGGTGATGGAGGAGACTAGGCTTTGGATGATGAGCACACAATGCCATGTACAGATGATGTACTGTAGATTTGTACACTGGAAACCGATATAATGGTATGAACCAATGTAACCCCAATACATTCAATTAAATAATAATAATAATTAAGTGATTTTGCAGAAGCAAAAAAGTGCTCTTCTTTTGTGAAAATAGATGGAAATTCTCTCCATTTTTAAAATAGCCTTTTGCTTTAGGTATTCATTTTCATGCTTTTCCATGCACTTAGCTCAGCATTATATAAATTAACCACTAAGTATCTATTTTCTGTGCACAAATACATTTGTTTACTGATCATTTGCTTGATATTGTGTGAAATGAATCTAGTCAAATAGAAGCTTCTGTAAAAATAAGGTACAAATGGATTACAGGATAAAAATGAAAATTAATATTTGTTCTTCTGGTCTAAAAATACACACATGAAAACAGAAGTTCTGGACTGCGGCTCTCTAATGCTCATTTAACAGAGGCCCAGTCCAGCGGCACCCCCGTAGCCTACCCTTGAATCTCTTCACTTTGCCAAACAGACTAAAGGAAGCACCAAGCCAAGAACCGATTAGGACCTTGTTTAAGAAGCTCACTATCACCTGGCCGGTTTGGCTCAGAGGTTAGAGAGACCCGGGTTCGGTTCCCACTAAGGGCATGTGCCTCATTTGCAGTTTGTCCCTGGCCTTGGTTGGTCGTGTGGGTGGTGACCACTTGAGGTATCCCTTTCACATTGATGTTTCTCTTCCTCTCTCTCCCTCCTGCTCTATCTGAACAGCCCTCGGGTGAGGATAAAAAAAAAGAAGCTCACTACCAATTATCATCTCTCAGTCTCTTCCTCCAGCTCATCAAGAAGGCCAGCAAGCTCCCTTCCCACAAAAAAGGGAAGGTTACCAAAAACTGTTTTCAGCATTATGTTTAACTTCTTTCCTGCACTGGAGTTAGAGGCTGCGTGTGTATGATACAAATGGGGAAACAGGATCAATCAGAATGTAACTTCCCCAGACTCACACTACTACCTCTACCTACCTACCAGCATCTGCACCGAAGCAATGCTCCCCACTAGGTTACTGTAAATCAGGACTGGGCCCACTATGCCTGTAGAGGGCCAGAAAGTAAGTATCTTAGGCTTCGTGGCCCACACTGGTCTTTCATATGCGTCTTCGTTCTTTCTTACAGCCCATTAGAAATGCAAAAACCATTTTACTTTATTTTCACAGGCTTTTCGTTTTCATTAATCATAGTTAATTTCCTTTTAGTTTCCACATTTAAAACTCATTTCTTCAGGTTCTTTTCATATCTTAGCAATTCATTTTAATCCCACCAACTCTTTTTCAATTCTTTCTACTATATTTTATCTGTCATATATTGTGTTACAGAATTCTAATTGTCAACTTAAATGTGTACCTAAAACTCTCCCTCCCTCTCTACAGAATTTATTCATTTCATACTTTAATTGCAGTCATATTCAATCATAGTTTTAAAGCAATTTCCTCTTACAAGCGGAATTTTTAAATACCCAGAATTAATAGGGCTAATATTTTTAATGAATGGGGCTGCCAGATATAATCCAGGATGACCAATTAAATCTGAATTTTATATAAACAACAAATAATTTTTAGTACAGGTAGAACTCACAAAATATTTGGGACAAAATCGAAAAGAATATTGCAAGGGCCTAGTTATACTAAAAAATTAGCTGTTGTTTATCTGAAATTCCAGTTTTGCTGCGTGTCCTGTATATTTCTCTGCGACATCCAGCAACCTAATGGGTTATACTTCATTCTACCATTTATACTTCATTCTACCATTATGGAACACTGCCAGGGTCAGTTCTGATTGATGCCCAAGTTGCACCAGTTGTTACCTATTATGAATATCACTCCTGAAAACAACACCGATAATCAAATTATTCTTCCTATTTGCTCTTTTATTCTGTTACTGAACATTCATAAAATACAATCACCAGCTGAAAAGAAATCAGGTAAAGCTGCCATCCAGGTGATTCTCTTTAACATCCAACCAAGCAGAGGACGATCTCCATTGTGACAACAGCAAATGAATCATCTATTTTATAATACTGGTACTTTCTCCCAACAAAAGCTTGTAAAATAAATTCAAATTTAAAAATTTCAGGTAAATGAATTTACAGGTGAAACTCAAAATATTTTTACATAAGCAATTATACTTCATTCTGAAAAAAATATTATGTGGCAGGATTCATTATGTCTAATACAGGCCTGGCCTCACCCTACTTTAAGTTAATATTTCCTTACTCGGAATTTATTAAAAGCACTCTAGAAAGGTAGTATCTATAGAAAACAAACCTATATGCACAATGACAAATATTTAACTACTGAATTCATAAATTCTCAAATAAGTTCCATGTAGTAAATAGATACTATCACAAAAATAAACATTCATAAATTTGGAGAGTCATAAAATATGCATTTGGAATAGTCTTGTTGCCAAAAAAAATCAGCCTAAATAATAGATTGTGAAAATCTGAAGAAAAAAAATACTTACTTTAGGACCATTTGAAAAGAACTGTAGTTAAAACTATATCCACCAATGACCCACATAAATTTCCCATGTAAAACTGCTTTATGGGAAGCCCGACCTACAGAAGGACTGAAGGGCTTAACGTTCGGCAGAATCCAGTAAGACTCAGTGGAAGGAACATTCAAAGAACAATCAGGACCTATTTTTTAAAAAAATTAAACAACACAATATATTAAAGAATTTAGATTATAATAACAAAATATAGGGATTAAGAGAATTAGTAATTCAATACTCATCATATTAATAAATGTACATAATCAATTATCCAAACTATAACTTACAGGGAAAATTCTGACATGAAATCTAATGCCTACGAGGAGACAAATCATATACTCAATCAGACTTACATATGTTCAAATAAATATCACAACCTGAAAAAAATCACTGAAATAATATAAAATGTCATATTTACTTTAGGCTACTAGAATATTAAAATGAAAACTAGGTCCTCAAATCCCAGTTCTGTCACTTACAAGACGTGTGACTGAGCAAGTCTAATTTACCTTTCTCATCGTCAAAAGCCCTCAGCTATAAAACAGAAACAACAATCTATCCTCTAAGGGGTTATTATCAATTTTTTTTTTTTTAACACAGTGGAGATAATAACATTTGCAAAGTGTAAACAGACTACTAAAGTAATATAAAAATTAATATTACATTTCTTTCTTGGCTTATTAATAACCAAAACTGACATCAGTAGGGAGGACTTATTATCCTCAAACAGAAAAAAAATATTATGTATACTAAACTTACACGAATTAGCACAGGATAACTTAAATACTGTAAGCCGAAAACACTGTTGTCTCCTCGCCACATTATGATGTTACTCATGAGTCCTGGTTACCTCCTCGGTAGGATGCAGGAGACTTGCCTACATCAGGTTTTCTCAAACCTTAGAAATGGAAGGGATGCCCCTAAGGGAAATATATTTTCACCACACTTCACGGCTCATAAATGATTTTTAATTCTAGTAAAACTAAAATATGCTCAAACAAAAACTAGACATAAACTCTAAGTTCATAACTTAGAAAACTCTAAGAACATAAAGTTCTTTTATAGCCTGACTGGTGTGGCTCAGTTGAGCATCGACCCATGCATGAAGAGGTCGCTGGTTCAATTCCTGGTCAGGGCACATGCCCAGTTTGTGGGCCCAATCCCCAGTGGGGGGCATGCAGGAGGCGGCCAATTGATGTTCTCTCTCATAAATGTTTTTATCTCTCTTTCTCTCCCTTCCTCTCTCTCAAAAAATCAATAAAGAAAAATTTTAAACAAATTTAAAAAATATATAGTTCTTTTATAAATATAAAAATCAATATAAATTTATAAACTATATATGTAATAAAAACAATAACTTAATGTTTATAAAACAATACACTTAATGTTTACTTAATAAAAATAATAAACTAAATGTCTACTTAATACAATAAACTTAATGTTTATTAATATGATAAATGACATTGTTTTGATCAAACCAAACCCCTGGTCCTAGGTTGAAAATTGTATTGATTCTTAACAGTACCTTTATCCACATGACTTTAGGATATCTACATTACTTTGACAACATAATTTTCCCACCACTTTTCTTTCTTCTACCCTTTAAAAACCTTTGTAATTCATATATTATGCCACATCATCATTTCAGCTTCACTTGTCACAAAGCATCAGAACACTGCAATATTTTTTTAGCCTATTTTAAGGGACACTACCTGGTCTCACCAGTCAATACAAAGGCTAGCATTGCAATCAAGTACATGTTTACTCAATTATGAGATCAATCACTTGATCTTAAATGTAATTATATCAGAAACTTTTAGATTATCACTGAATCACAATTTTAAAACTTCCAAAACAACCCTAATTGGAGAAACATTAGCCCATACAGTTTTCATCTATTTACCTGTTCACTCACCCAAGCATTCATGCATTCATGCATTCATTCACTCATTCATTCATCTTCAAAGTCCTTTTCACAGCTTATTCTATGCCTCTGAATTTTTTAGGTGCACTCTAGATTATGTCTTTGATAATGACACAGTCCTTTAAACTAGAAATTTTAAAGTATTATTTTTGAGTGACAAAACTTTGAACCATTCTTTGGTAATCAAAGAAATTAAAGGAACACACTGATTTTTTTAAAACATTGTTTTTAACTACAATTCTGAATCACTTAGAACTTATTTAACTTGGGGTGGCAAACAACAGCCCATGAGCAAAACCCAGCCCACTCCCTGTTTTCATAGATGAAATTTAATTGGAACTCAGTAAGCTCATTCATTAAAGAACGGTCTGTGGCTGCTTTCACACTACGCTAGCAGAGCTGAGTAGCTGCAACACAGCCAAAAATATTTACTATACGGCTCTTCACAGAAACATTTGCCAACTTCTTATTTAACTGAAGAGAAACAAATGCAGATGGACATTATACATAGGTAATGTATCCATTGATATGTTTTGTATTTTGTTTTGTTTTGTTTCCTTTTTATTGGATTTATTGGGGTGACACTGGTTAACAAAATTATGCAGGTTTCAGGTGCACAATTCCACAACACATCATCTGTACACTGGGCTGTGTATTCACCACTCCAAGTCAAGTCTCCGCCCATCACCCTTTATCCCCCCATAATCTCCTCCACCTCCCTCCTCCTGCCTGTAGTCACACTGCTGTATTTCATTTTCTTAAAAAGGAAATGTAGATTTATTTTAAATCATGTAAGAAGAGAATGATAAGCAAATAGGTGAAATAGTAATAAGCAATATTGATCATTTATATATTTAAACTAAATATTATTTAATACAAAAAACAGGATTCTAGAAATTTTTTTTAAATGTTACTCTGTAATCTAAAATATGTTATTTTTGCTCTGGCCGGTTTGGCTCAGCGGTTTGAGCATCAGCCCGTGGACCAAAGAGTCACGGGTTCAATTTCCAGTCAAGGGCACGTACCTCAGTTGTGGTTTGGTCCCTGGCCCTGGTTGAGGTCATGCGGGAGGCAACCAATCAATGTGTCTCTCTCACATCAGTGTTTCCCCCCACCCACCCACCCACTCTATCTGAAGATAAATGGAAAAATATCCTCGGGTGGGGATTAAAATAAATAAATAAATAAATATAATATCTTATTTTCTACACAAAAGAAAATAGCAGTCAAAATCTTCCTATATCTTTGTTACTACCACATTTCATAGAAATTATTAGAAGAAATAGTCTACAGCCAAACTCCACGGATTGTCTTTATTTTACGCTAAATTAATAAGTTTATAAACAGAATACAGATTTATGAATAGGACTAAAATTTTTAAGAAAAGCCGAATGTCACCCTGGCCGGTTTGGCTCAGCGGTTGGAGCGTCGGCCTGCGGACCAGAGAGTCCTGGTTCCGTTCCCGCTGGGGGCACGTACCAAAAAACACAAAACAAAAACTGAATGTCATAGTTTGTAGCTTTCTGTATTGTACGACTAAAAAGATTTAGGATGTAAATTTATAAACTGAATATTAATGTAAAATACAAATAACTATAAAGACACTTTATACACACAAAGCCTTCGCATCCATTAAAAATCTGACATTGATGTCTACATATGAAGCCCTCCGAGACGCCGTTCTTACAGACATGACGCCGTTCTTACAGACATGTCCGCGAGAAACCCCCTCCCGCTGCCTAGCGAGGCAGAGGAACTAGTTCTCCGCACGGACCCCCTGCACGACTTCCACCCATCGGCATGGAGAGCTCCTCAAGGTAAGCAGATCTCGGCTGTCTTGAAGAGGAGGTGATGAAATAATTCACATTACAGCGGGTTTTCATAAAGATTTAATATGCTACCTTTCCCACGGGTTCCGTGTAGCTGAATAATGCAAACAGCATAAATGAATTGCTAATGCTGTGACTTCAGGCATTAGCGCCAGGCTGCGGAGAGACAGGTTTTGCAGGGAAAGGCTATCTTATAATCACACAATGCAGAATTAATTACACACTGATCCCTCTCGAATGTATTTCTCCAGTCCCACAATCTCGCTTGAATTCGAGATGTAAAGTCAACTATCTCCATGACATTTCCACTTGGGTGTCTATGATCATCTCAAACTTGACATGTCCACAAGTAAAATCCGGATGCTTCTCTCCCACAGTGACACCTTCACCCGTGTTTATCATTTCAGTAAATGGCATTTGGTTCACCCAGTTGCTCAGGACAAAGACCTTGATCCTATTCTCGAGTTTGCTCTTTCTCCCATACCCCAAATCCAGTCCGGCAATAAACCCTGAACTGATACCCATTAGGTACACAGGGATACGGCCTTCCCAATTGTGGAAACATGGAAATGTTTCAATGAAGCGGATGCTGCCTCACATACCTAAGTACCCAGCCTTCCTTCCCAGTTCCCTGGCCCCTCCTGAGATGCCCCAGACCGCTCCACAAGGGACAAGTAAACACACCGCACAGCCTACCCAGGCTCCTGCTCCAGCCTAAGGTCAGCATTCTCTCTAACGGGCTGGGTGACTCAGTATCCATGCCTAACAATAATAAATATTTTAAAATTCTATCACCTCCACCAGACTCCAACCACTGATGTCTTCCTTTACAGCTAGCATCCTACTCCACGCCACCAGCCTCTCTCACCTGGACTACTGCAACAGTCTCCAAACTGGTGTCTTTATTTCCATTTTTACTCCCTTCTTGTTCCATTCAACTCTCCACACTGCAACCAGAATAATTAAAAATATAAATCCACTCCTATCACTTCCCTATTTGAAATCTTTCAACAATTTCCCATCAGACTTAAAATAATATAGTCTACCACCCCTACATGATTGGCCTCAGTGTACACTTATTGAATGAATGAATGAATGAATGAATGAATATAACCTTAGAGCTATACAAGATTAAGAACATGAGCATGTAGTCAAACCTAGCTTCCCTACTTATTAGCTGTGAAACTTTGAATGAGTTACTTAACTTCTCCAAGCTTCAGTTTAATCATGGAGATTACACCTAAAAGAATGTAGGATTTTGTGATGATAAAATTAGATTGGACTTAATACTTAATACTATAATAAATGCTTTATAATAGTAATCTTATTGTTATTATTGTCAATGCTCTCATTTTATACACAATTATACTAAGTATAATTAAGTGTAGAGGC